TGCGGATTTCGAAGATCGTAAATCGACTGGAAAAGGATCGGTTAACGTGGACGGTATTTAAAGGTTGGCACTCCGTCCTTTGTATCCCTCTACACTATCTCTCATTCCAAAAGTGACGTCCCAACCGCTCTACCAACGCCACTCTCTGGCATTAATTCTAACCTTAGTTTGACGCCAGTCACCTCAGTCATATCCTCACGGAGGGGTTGTAACTGGTTGAAATGAATAACTGTAGCTTTGTTTGAGCTATTATCCAAGCATCTAACTATGCATTTGTTTCAGACAAGTTGTTTTCCACCAAGGATTATCCTTTGAACTCAGCCTGGAGCTCGGAAGGTCGCCCCGGCTCAGTGGTATTGCTCAGCGACAGAAGAGTGTCCCTGGATATAATGAAGTACCAAATGCTCTCCTGTCATGGTAATTCTTTTTTACTATATGGTTTTAGAAAGGAATGCGCCGCTTGGTTTGCTTGCTGAAGGTCTCTTCCTAAATGGCGGATGTAGTCTGTGGTGGGTGTTGGATATGGCGATAGTGTGAGCTGTCCCATATCGCTGGGTTGGTTTCACTGCCTATCCACATGGAATGTGAAGCTTTATCGGTGCACTTGTGGACTGAAATACAATGTGATGATAGGCGTGTTGGCAGTACCTGGCCCTACTGGCTCCAGTTTTTTTTTAGACAACTGCCTTCCAGGGGATCTCGAGGGATCGGGTTTTATTTCGACCAATTTTTACATTTCGGATAATAGGTTGTCCCACGAGTCTCGTTGATCTTTATAGGTTTTCGTAGTTTATGTACCAGATTGGCTTCAAAGTTTGATCCGTCGCCAGAATATAGTCGAACAGGTACACCTCAACAACTGATCCAGTGTTATCCTACTTCATTTGCCACAGTGTTCGCGTCGAACAGACAGATTGGTACAGCCTTGGTCAATTTTCAAAATAGCCCACTTGCACGGATGCGAATTTGCTCTTCCGTATCTGTCTATGGTCTCCACCTCAATTCCCAAAGCTTCGTTTTGGTTTCAAACTAAAGAGTCTTCGAGAGGATCCCGTATTTATGAGGATTGAAGAGCATAAGCCGCTTGCAACGTTAGAGATCAATAGAGCCCACAGGCCGTTAATGGTTGTTATGACAATTACTGTGCAAAAATGATGAATTTGCCATTACCAGGAGGTTTTCGGTCAGCGACCGTCTGTTTTAGGCTGATCGGTTGGAACCAATCCTTGGTTGTGAGCCAAACAGCATGCTGATGAGTGATGTGCTCAAATGAATGGGGACGGGAAATGTGAAGTTTCTCGGTTTGTAGTGCTCCGTATACGGTGCGTTTGTAGGAGGAAGGTGGGTGGCAGCTTCAAGTTCATCCAGTTCTTCTAGAGATGGTGCTCGCAAGCTACAAAACACAGTGGACGAAATGCTCTCGATTAACTGCTCAAGGATCCTCTTCTCGGACCTTGCAGATGACTCCCTATCAGACGAGCGGTTGGCTAGCTATAGAAATCCTAGTGCGTACGTTGTCGCATCCACATCCATTTTCTGACAGCGTCTTTGGAACTGTCTCTGATATTTCAAACTGAACAAAAGCATGCGCAGCAACTGACAGGACTGACTGAACTTTTCTACCCCCAGAGTAAAAGTTTACACATCAACCATCCAATTTTTTTAAAAATCAAACTCATTGCTCGATCATTCCAAATGTCAGCAAAGCCATTTTTTTATATCGTTACGACTCAGGAAGCCAAGCGAACCGGCAGTAAATGCACTGTTCACCACAGAGCACCTGGACGTAACTTCCGAAGTGGGTCAAGGCACTTTAAGTGGGGCTTAATACGGGGTTTCATTGCATATAACCGATAGTGAGACCAAAGTCCATGTGTAGGTTCGTTCATTCTGAGGGTTGGTCTGAAATGTCCGGTGATCATATGGAGATTCATGCAGTTCTAACGAATACTGTCGGAGCTTAGGGGAAAAACTTAAACCTGCACATTCATGACTACATCCATCTTCTGGGTCCTCATATACTTCGATCGACGGAAGGAGAGTCAGAAAAACTTCACAAAACGCGGTCTCTGTACCTACTTCCGATATACGGCTTTTCACTAACATGGATTGAGGGCGGGTGTTTTGGATAACGTTATTACTGAAACTCAGCACATGCACCGCATCACTGCGAATGAAGAGGGTCTTACTGTAGTTTGTGTAAATCAATGACGCAATGAGCTGTACTGAAGGGTTTTCACAAAACATCCACAAAGTATCTCCCGCCAGGTCAGTCAGTGGATAGAGGTCTTATAAGTATCAGTGGCACCCCAGGTTATGGTTTGGAATAAGTGACAATCAGATTATGGGCTACCTTTAAGCCGAACACTGTTGCATTGCGGCCAGGCTTCTGAACCAAAGGTTTTGGCTGTGCGCCCTGACTGTCACCCTGTCTAAATCCGAGTGCCCTGATCGCATCTCAGCTCCCATACAGCCGACAGCTTCATGAATAATAAAGTACATTCACGTCATAAAGGAAACCATACATGATGTTGCTGAAAACTCTTTGGCCTGTCTTGGGCTGTCGAGAGATTCAGACGAATCTTCTGTGAAAATCAAACTGACACGCAAATGAGTGCATTTGCAGAAATACATTCATGCCACTTTAGTTATCGTTTAATGACATCAACTTGGTCTTCTCATCCTCTGAATACGGCACGAGAGCCAAGCGCAGAAGCGCAAACATTGACGTCCCTGTATCCTTTCTTCACTGTTGTCTATCAAGTCCCCTTCTATTCCGCTTGATAATCACTATTATGTGGATACAAGGTATAAGCACATTAGTAAGGTACTTAGGAATTCGATGAGCCGGATGACCGCACATCCAGACAGATCTGCATCTGCAGCTCAGGTCTCGCTCTCCAGTTTTTATTTCAACGCCTTAACAAGATCGGTCAACATGTTGATCTTACGAGTACTGTAGACACCAAGTTAAATTAAATCTGGTGCATCGTTAGAACCCAAATACAGGATCAAAGTACAATTGTTAAGACTACAAGACGCTGTAGACTATGAACTTCGCGTGATCCTTCATCTGCTGAAGCGGGGTGCACCTCAGTTTGCGAGCTGAGACCTCACTGCTCGAATGGATACCTGTAAACAGCAGACTCTGTGCTGCCAGGCTTTACATTTTGATAAAGGCCCGCAATGAACGAAACACTGAACGCTCTTTGTTTGTCGTGTCCATTTAAGAACCAACTGACTGCAGCTGTGGCTTGTCAAATGAAGCCTTCTATTGAGAACTAAACACTGTCTTTCTCACCATGAGCAGCTCAGATATGGTCGTGATAGCCGGAGATTTCAGTGCGCAAGTAGGGCGCCTCCGACCATCAAATAAATGTGTTGCATTTGGCCCGGAAGCGAAACTCACGGATGGTGATGGGTACATCTGCGACTGTACCGATCAGTTGTTCCTCAGCTACACTGGCTTTAGATGCAGTGGGGACCCTTGTGCTATCTGGCAATCTCCTGGTGCTGAGTGGCCCTGAATTCAGCCTGACCACACTACTATCAGCTACTAGTGACTCGATTCTGTTCTTCGAGTGTACACTCTGAAGGACCATGAATCTAGGTAACAAATCACGTCTGGAGATAGAGATTAACAGACTAGGATTATGTGGACATCATCAGTTTGTTGCCTGACAATTTTGCCCATGCAAAGTACTCTACACATGATAAAGGAGGTAGTCCTATGTCTTAGCACGCACTGTGCACTTTAAATAAGCAAAGACTTTCTCCAAGATTTCATATCCCTTTGGGCTTCTCTGAAACTTCAGGATGCAGAAGCTGAGTTTGTTGATCGCTTCACGCAACTTCAAAGTAGAATAAACCGTGATCGTATCGTAACAGAAGCCGATCCGCAGACAATCAAGACGCGAGTGGAGTTTACTGACTTGCGCCAGGTCAAAGGCTTGTCATCTCTCTGCCTCCGCTAGTCCAAATGGAACACGGAAAACAGCACTATTCGGCGAACGATGGTTCGTCATGCGCAATACATGGCCTAACCAACGCGGCTTCTGGTGCTGGATACATTCCCAAATGGAAGTCCCTGTACACAAGTGAAGACTCGCCTTCTAATTTCCTCAATGGGTCGCGGAGGCAGACAAACCGTCACACCACGGTAAGGCCCAGTATCTTTGTGCTGCCTGGGGAACCGATTAATCCTTGACCCACTGTCGATGGGTGTCAGTTTAACAATGGCACTCATGGTAAATAGACACGGATTTGCCAAGGTTATTTCTTAGCCGAAGATATGATGCGATAGCGATCACAGCATTTGAAATTCATCGGGGTGAGTACATACTATGACGACGAAATGGATTAAAGATGTAGGATGACTTTTCTTCCTTGGATATTCTCAGCTCACATAGAGTTCTTCTGTGAATAACTAAGCTCCAGTGAGATTTTGAATCAGACTGCCGATTAGCCAGTCGTGGCTGAAGTGACAGTGCTTAGCTTTTAGCCACGGGGTTGCGATTTCCAATCCCAATGGAGTTTGGTAAGATACAAACCGTCAGTGATTCCCAACAAGGATACCCAATGATATCCAGCTTCCCGGATCACCATTTGTATGATGAACTCAAGGCTGAAATTTCAAGACTTTCTTGCTGCCCACGCTGCCCCGACAAGGATTGTTGTGCTTTGATAATAGCACAAGGGTTAGAAAATTGGTGGTCACACTTCACTAGTCAAGCTGCTAACCTTATTTTGACTGATTCAATTCGCGCTGGTGAGTACACAAAAAATTTGCATTTACTCACTTTGCACATGGGCCAAAAATATTTGTCATTGTATGTTTGACACCAAAACAAAAGAACACAAATGCTGGTCAGTGCAAACATACTAGCAATGCTACGCGCTTCTCACAATACTGGAAAGCGAGTTTCAAGCCTATGACCAATGAGGACGTTCTAAGTCCCAATTAGGGTACAGAGAGAAAAAAGGCAGTTGAACTGCACAAAATATAATCTGCTCACAAGACGGAGTCAACTTTGCACATTCATTGGGATTCAAAATGAAATGAAGGAATTGGGTCCTAACAGGAGAACATACAGAAGGACTTCAATAAGCAATAAAAAAACAGGTATCGGACACGTGATCGAGCATCATTCTGAGTTCTTGTAAACCGGAACACATAGACTTGAGAAAAGATCACAGTACAAAAGCTTAATTTGCGCACGCTTAGAAGAAATTGATTCTTTTGCTGTACCGGGAATCTGTGCAGATGAAAGGATCAGCTAAGTAGAGAGTCACCAACGGATCGTTGTATGATTCTTGGCTCTGTGTTACTGGGCGCTTGGAATGAAAGACTTCGCTTCTCCAAATCCGCCCAATGAGAACGGTCCAACTGGCTCAAGAAACGTCGAATTCGCAGTGTGCGGTGTTTGTCTCCAACGCCACTACGCTGTGTAGAGCCGGAAGAACTAGCAGTAGCTTGATATGGACTAGACGGATTGAGTCGCTGGAAAATAACAGGAAACATATGTAGTGAGTCAACCAGTAAACATACAAAACAGTTTTTGTATGGAGCCAATAAGTTGTTAGTTGGTGCTTAGCTGCCATGCCACAGGAAGGAAGCACGAGGGCTGGGATACTGCCAGGTTGCCCAAGCCTAGACAGGGGAAGTCGAGAGGCAGAGGTCAATAAATTAGCGCTCTAACAATGAAGCCATCTCTCACTCCTGAACCAGCACAGTAACGTGTTAGTTTTTCGGCTACACACAAAGGCACACGCATTCAACCTTGGAGGAAACACTCACAGGACCGACTGAACTGATTCCTTTCACAGGGAGTTTCCTCTGAAAATGAATCAACCTTCTTGACCACCGGTAAGTCTGTAACCTTCACCGACGTATCCGGGACTGGATACCTCATTATTCAACCAGTTAAGAAGCTCGCAAACGTGTTTTTAATCACCAGATGCACGTTCGGTTTACCTGGTGGATTGAGTTCAAATAGTTGACGAATGAACAGTGTTTTTTACTATTGCGAAGCTGGAGTTCTGGCCAAGCAGGTCGATTTCATCCGTCGTTGATTTTCAAACCCATAACCACCATATATAACGTGTGACAATTCATAGCTTTTATCGTCATGCTGCGGTTATGACATCAAAAAGGTACTACTGTTTGACTCTCCATCTTTTGAGTGAATTACCTTCTGATCCACCAAAGACCCACTTCCTAATAATATCAGGAATCCGCCGGTTCTAGCCGCTTTCAGCTACAGTTCCAAGACATCTGTGCTCAGAGACATGATATCTTGCAGGCACATTCAAAGACTGTACGTCCTGCAGCACGACTTTCCATGTTGTAGGTGCAAAGCACATGACGAAAGGTTTATTACATTTGATCGTGATGCTACAACAACACTCATACAGCGTGAGATAACGGTGGCACAAACTTATCAATGCACTAAGTAAAGTATTCTCAAAGCCGAATGGAGAACAAGTAACGAAGGGTGATGTTATAAGCAAAATCTAACGCAATGACTATGCTAAAAACAACAGGGCAAACCGGGAGAAAATCACCAAAAATCAGGTTGCAAGTACAAGACAAAGTCATTTGCTGCTCGTTTCAGTGTACAAAGCCCAAGAAGGGCATCAGTTCTAATGGAATAAAGTGCCCACATAGGCCCAGGCAGGCAGAGAACGCGAGCTTATCGAGGCGTGGTACTCAACAGAAAAGGCTATGAACACATACTGATAACGATCCGATCAATACTGGCAAAAAAGCCCAGATTTCTCACACACAAAACTGTACAACGTATGTGAGAAACTTACACCGAAGAACCAGGTAAGCCAAAACAAGAGAGAAATTAAATAGGACTCCACATCAAGCACCATAACAGCCAAACAGGATATTCCACGGCACCAGGTAACTCAGGTGGGTCGATAAGAAAACGTATTTGACGAAGTGGGATAACCAAGCGAAATGAAGAATTTCCATACCACAACGAACCAGAGACAGCAAAGGAGCCGATCAGAACAGAAAACAGAAATTGCGGGAAATGGGGTTGGTTAAGTAACCAAACAAATACAAAATCAGATCACAACGCAAGAGGGAACTAAAACGGGCCAGTCAGCAAATGGACTCCCTGTTAGTCAATTACGTTGAAGATATAAGCTACGCTATACAGGCGGGATGAAGTACTCATTCATCCACGAACTAGAATGGTGATGAGACGCTCACAATCCAAACATCAAGCTCGGTGAACAGGCCAACGGTTGACGAACCCATCAAAACCCAAGCAGCCCCGCCATAGCGGGACTAAGAATCATGTATTAAGACCTTTCCTTATGAAGGTACAAAGTTTGCGAATACTTAGGAAAGCCCGTTTACGGTTGACGGGATAAATAGTTGATCTTCGGAGAAAAACACCTCTGCACAAATCAGACTAACTGCCTTTTGTAGCCGTCCCAATTTCTTCGCACGAGCTCCTCTCGAATAGATACTGCACGGTGACATTGGCAACAGAACCGAAAAGGGAAAGCGAATAACCTTGGCGGCCACATTGGTCCGGATAGGCTTTTGGATTATTCATTGTAAAACTTATACCCATTGGAGACACTCGAATACAAGGTGTAGAAAATATAAAGGTGATTAAACCTCCCAAGAATCTATGGTTTTTTCGACTTGGAGATTCCTGCAGATGTCGGCACCATGTGTCGAGCAGACGCTGCACGCAAAACCGATGCATGACGAACGGAGTCATCAGTCCTAAGTGCTGGGCCTACAAGGAGAGAGTCATTAATGGGGTAGGGGGGGGGGAAAGCATGTGAAGGAGAAAGAAGGGAGGCGTCAGCAGTAGCCTGTTTTCGCTTACCCGCCCTGCTGTATGCAGCAAGTAAGGCGACTCGGCTGATGGCACCACGCGACGGCCGATGTGGCATGAGTTTATTTGTGTATGTGCAATTCATGGTTGACTTGGCAGAGGAGTATGAAGGAGATCACGAAACGCTTGGGTGCTGTCGGTGCTACTCGCCTTCCAGGATGGGGACCGCGGGATCCTCACTGTGCCTGGTTGGAGACACTACAAGATATGGCTGCCAACCGATGTCAGTCGCGTTCTTGTTGTCAGTTTCGATCCAGATTGCCTGAGTGAATGTCTGGAGGTGTAGGCATCTCGGAATGATTGTGTTAAGCTAGCACTAAGTCCCCTACCCGTCCACCTTTATTCTTTTCTTTACACTAAGGCTTTCAAATAAGTCGTGGTTGTACGGCAGTGAAGCATCGGTGTTGAACACTGATGTCATGCTGTCGATGATGATGATGATAATGATGGTTTTTTCGACCAGCTGATCACAGCAATTGACTAATGTCTATAAGACAGTCTAAAATAGACAAATTAGTCAATGTTTCATTGTTAGGTAGGGTTACTATACTTACGGACATTTGAAGAAGTGTCAGTTGATAGTGTAAAATAGCTCCAAGTAAATCCCAGAGAGTGAAGTTGGGCCAGTAGCTTTCCACAAATTTGTGAACTACACCGCTGTGTGCTGCTTGCCACACAAGGAAATCGCTCAAACGCACTTCTCCGGAACTTCGGATGAAGAGGTCCAGTGGTCGCGAATGCCCCGTATAGAGACACTGAGACAGAAGATCCGGGTTTACATCACTGAAAAAGGAGTAACGCAGAAAGGATGTTCTTCTGGAGATCAGGACAACCTGTTATGTTCACCATACAAAAGTGGTCGGAAGTTCTGACCCCTACGGTTACCACAAAACAACCTTCTTTGCGGAAGAAGGACTATCTGGTTCACCAACTTTGAATGGGTCCATGAGTCGAACCGAAGATGTTAAGTATGTTTATACTTAAGTGCAGCTGCTGAGCAATGAACAGTAAAATGAGAATTGCTGATAACAGTTACTCTACGGTGACAATTAATACCTTGAATGTGATATCAGTCTCCCACTTTGCGTACTCTGTCGTGTTACATTGACCTGCTCGGTATGTGTGGAACAGTCCTGTATCACTGAAGCATTGCTCTTCTGATCACATTGAATGGCACATGGTAAGGAGGAAACCGATGAGTGCAAGATAAATTTGTTAGGAAACGATTTCCGCAATAAAGTCCAATGAAAGTATTCATGTTTGAATCCAGTTATGGACAAAATGGTACACTCTACATACATCAGTATGATTTGGGGATTCATGGGGACCACAATTACTCAGGAGAGAAAAAGAAAGCGTTTAGCTGTAGCACCCTTCCGATGTCTAGCTGCCATGCCACCTGAAGGAAGCATGAGGGCTGGGATACTGCCAGGTTGCCCAAGCCTAGACAGGGGAAGTCGAGTGGCGGAGGTCGGATTCGAACCAGGAACCTTCCGGTCAGTAAATTCGCGCTCTAACCACTTGGGCCATCTCGCCCCAATTACTCAGGATGTGCAGGTTATTATCTCGGGCTAGAATGAGACACTCCAACTGTAACCACCATTGTTTCAAGATTACCAAAATCATTCAAGTTTTCACAGAAGGGAGGACTGGGATGAATGTCTGATGCAACGACTAGTGCAGGTAAGTCTTCGTAAGTCAGACTGTACAACAGGGTTGAGATCCTCCCTAATTTTCTGTTGCATGCAGCTGGTTAAGCGATAGACCACGGGGTGACGAACTGATTTATTCGCAGTTGGTGCACAGTAAAACACACTGTGGAAACTGATATCCGGCCGCTTATTGTAATAAGATGAGCTCGGCCTAACTAGCCACATAGTGGAGAGAAACACAGCTCATTTCAATACTAATAATAAAGTTCGATGAGAACTCTGGAAAGCTCACTGCCTGTTTCGTACGAGACATTTAGGTGAAATTCAATCAAGTTTCTCTTCAACGCCGAGCTAGTTTGCAAATGGAAGCCTAGCTCATGCATTTTAACCCGGTTCAGGAGCGATATGCTACTTAGACCTAATTGAGACTTACATTTTGTTTCATAATATTCAGCCGACATCTTAAGAGGCTGTACTAGTTTGGTGACGTGACACGTAGCTCGAGTTCCCATGGCGGCATAGTGGATAATTCATGAAGATTCAGCTACAAGTTTACAAGACTAATAACCGAAGCAAGAAGTTGGAAAGAACCTAAGGCGAATTCCGCAGATACCCTGCCTCTTGTGGCCAGCACCCAAACGCATAAATAATTCACAGATCCAACTCTAAAAGTCGAACTAGTTCGCATTATTGAAAACCTAGATCACTTGATGAGTTAGGCACACAAGTTGGCTTTGAAATTGATTTCGGTTAGTATTGTTACTTTATCTTAGTTGGTTCTGAAAAAATTACTCCCTTACACTCGTCACCTCTTACAAACATTATGTTCCAAACTTAAATGATGGGTGCGAAAGGTATCCACAACAACTTGCACCTCTATTGCTTTATTTTTGACACGCTCGGTATTTGCTTGAGCATATCGCATTCGAAAGATGTTCGACAATGTAGTTCAGAAGTCAAAAAGAAGTGCCTGATATCGAACGCAAGCATAGGCAGAAGTTGGGCCGGGATCGCTAAGACTCAGAATATACGCGTATAAGAAGCAGTTGTTTTCTGCAACCCAGTTGCATTGTTTCGGTGATATTGATATCAAGTGATCATGTCTGCGAAAAGGTGTTGGACGGTAGCAATGAAGTGCGCCCTAGGACTGGTTTGACCGCAAGTTAACTTGTATAGATCTTTCCGATCGTCCAGATATTTCGGTAAATTTGTGCTATACTCGGATATAACACACGTCCAAAATAATAACACAGCGAGGTTTCGTGAATTTCCCGCGAATCAACGGTTGTCGCACGGTAGCCCAGGAAAAATAGCTACCATTCACCAATTGCTTATTTAAACAAGGAGAAACACACTACTCGTGGAATGCCCCTAGTAGATGAAACCGATCATCAGCTGTCCAAGAGATTTCAGTAATCTTATGAGTAGTATTCTGTCTGAACAACATGTTGTGGTATACCGAATATCATCCCGTGAAACATGAAGTAGCCTTGTGCAGCACGTCCAGTTGAAGATCACATACAAAAGACTCAGATGGGATAAAGTTGAGTCTTCTATTAGGAATGATTGCTCGGTGGCACTCCGCGCTTCGGCATGTGCTCCACATCCGCAGTGTAAGACCATGCTGTAGAGGGCAGAGATCTTGAACACGTCATCCGTAATTCAGGGAGAGACACTGGAAGTTATGGAGTGTGCTACGTATTTCGGGATGTGCGCCAGCTGTAATAGTAGTGTGACAGTGCACGAAGCTTGAATCCTACAGTCGTGTCCTACAATTTGAGTTAATTTTGGTGCAAAAAAGTTATATGATTGAGTCTCAGGGCTCATGCGGATCTGACTACAGTGCAAGCTGCGCTGTTGTATGACTTCCAGGATGGCCTTTGCACTTAGAGGATTTGAGGTGACCTCTGTTCTTTAGTCAACGAAAAAATTTCGGTGCCGGCGAATCCTGTGATGCGATCATCAAACGGTGGTGCGGTAGGTATCTGATTTCAGGACTGCATCGAGTAGCGCAAACTGCATGGGTCTAGTCATGTGCTTTACATGCCCAACTATGGTTTACCGAGAAGGGCCCTGTTTTCCGCGCCAAGTTCAGTGGTGTAAACCAAGATGCTAACACAGTATAAGTTGGCAGAAGAAAACGATGGGCGAAAAACGTCTTAATGCTGTGGGTTCGGCCCGTCTCCTAAGATGAATTCCAAGTGACTGAAGACTCCGCAAGATGTGTTTGTAGTTTCTATCCAGATCATTCGATCGAACTGTGGAAGTGAAGCTGCCTCGTACGTTTCGAGCAGGCTCACATTATATCTCTTATCTCCACACTTTCGTCCTGACACCAGTTTTTTAAGTAAATTGATGTGGTTGCACGGCAGTCGACGACTGATGTCTACATCGTAGTTGCCGTGAGCGATGGTGACGATGACCTTAGCATGACATGCACGGGTGTGAGGAAACCCACTTTTCTGTACAACACTGCTCAGTAGAAACATAAAAAGACACAACGGTTTTACGGAAGATTTTGTCTTCCATAACTCCCGCAAGCGTTTCAAAGAATCTAAGTGCCACCCGATGGAAGCGTGAATGTGACATTGTGTCGACATCGGAATTTAAATACCCATATGCTGGTTACCTTAATCGCAATTACAGTTGAACGATATTGTCCTCTATTTTAGCGAAGCACCCTTGATTGGCAGATTTTTTCGCCGGCTGGATAACAAGCTTCTTGTACGCAGTTACTGAATTTCTGTTCACATCGTCCTCCTTTGGACGGTTTTTGTACCTTCAGAGAGTGAATAATGCGGTAAGTTCACACTAAAGAAGTGTCCAATCCTAAGTTTCGCCCTTGCCAGAGTCAATCAATAGTGTACCTCTTCGGCTACAACAGAATACGAGCGCCATCCACTATCCAGGAAAAACCAGCATGCCTTCGTTGTCCCACAGACACATGTTGGATACACCTGGATTATCGTGCTTGAGAAGGCAAACACTGGTCATACTTGAGCGGTATACGTAGTCCGGTTCACAAACGTTCGAGGAAGCTTTTCGATCACCTAAACCCAAAATCTAGTCGGTTGCTTCACAAAAAACAGATAATAATTTGGAGAAACACAAATGTCTGGCAGAACGGGATTGACGCTTTAGAGCGGAAACCGTACCGCACCAAGTTACGGCCAAACAAGCCAGTTTATTAGCTGCACTGTGGGGATCCTGCATAAATTGGCAACCCAAATAGACCAACCGCAAATGCCCTATTTATTTCAACGCACAGGTCAGTATGGAATTTCAAATAAAGTCTCTGACAGAAAAACTGCCTTATAGGTAATAAGCTACGTCACAACCTTCAGTAAGTGAAGAAGAATACGGAGAGAAGCCGATCATCGGAACCAACTCACCTGGGATGAATCACTTTATCACGCACTCCTAACCGGATGCGTTCTGCAGCATCTGTCAGCTCATTTTGTCCACCGTACGCCATACAAATATTTAGGAATAATCTGAATGAAGGGAAGATAGACAGAAAGTGCAAAAACAATGGGATCTTAAGAAGACAAGAAATCCGTGTGCAAGCAGAAGCATCACATAGACCCTATTACTGATGTTAACAAGGACATCAAAAAATGATGCTTAAGTACCAGGATTGGTAGCCCAACCCATTGCCATACACTAGAGCAACAGAAAGATGAAGTATTGATCTATTATTTAGGGGACGCTCAACCACCACCTCAGTGATCTTCTTGACGGTTGTTGTTTTTTTGCTGAGCTGAACAATTTGATTGCGAACGTTTCACCACCAATCGAGGTGACATCATCAGTGCGTTGTTAGGGAGTGTAGTAAATGATACTCTTTTAGACGACATAGCACCTCTGGCTGATGAAACCGTTTTACCCTTCCACTTTTTATCACATCCAATCACCGGTTAGTTATAAAGGTTTGTGGCCTGAATATGTTTGTGCTTCCTCCATTATCCATGAAAGGTTTTGTATTACGAAGTAGTCATGCGCCGAAATGACGTCATGGACTACACATGGGTATCAGTATAGCTAGTTTACCAAATGATACTGACAGAGAGTGACGGGTTGGATAAACGACATGGTATGGCTGGTCCAGTACAGCTTTATTTAGGGACAAGTTCGTAGCCTGAGCACAGTCGACCGACGTCGCTTCACTGGTCAGGGATTACTTTGTGATGACCTAAGCTTGTGAACCATACCACATTTAGATATGATTTTTTAAACAAAAAACGGAAAACGTTCAGATGCAACACCCTTTTGAAGCCTAGCTGCTATGCCATCTGAAGGAAGCGGGAGGGCGGAGATACTGCCTGGTGCCCAAACCTAGACAGGTACGGTCGGGATGCAGAGGTGATGTTCGATTCACGGACCTTTCTGTCAATAAGTCAGCGCTTTGACAACTTGGTCATCTTTCGGCGGACGATGAGTCAGATCTGTAGGGCCCAAAGATAAATACTCAACTTCGATCGGACTACCATTAGCATTGTTTCCGCACAAGGAGAACGCTCTCCAGCAAATGTTCAAATGAGAAACAGACTATTTCTCATTCTGATCTTAGTACTTTCTCCTCGAATGCAGTTCGCTATGCATCGACCAGATGACAGTTTCCTCAGTGAACTAAAACAGTCTAATTCCGTAGGCAAGTTGATTTGAGAGCCATGTGAATGGCCAAAACCATTCATTACAGTACCATGAGAAACAAACAGGTACCTCAAAAACGAGTATCAAGCTGGTTGTGAACCCACACAAGCCGTTCCTATTGCCGAACCCGCGAAACTATTCACTGAGACGCTACTTTCTCATTGACATTGTCACGTATATGCTGATATTCCTGTACCACAACCGCGTACTCCTTACAAGGTAGAGGCAAGTAAAAGATGCAGATAAAACATACAGACGGACCGCAGTTATCCGAGACTAACCTTGTGTTGTGTCGGGTTTTTAGCATCATTTCACTGGCGATTCGCTGAATGCGGGTGGGCAACATGGTGATGTCACCGATTATACGAACGCAAACACCCATGGAAGACAGCGTATCTCTGAATAGTTGAATGCAGTGAGAAGGAGATATAAACTTGCGATTTGTCAATAAGTTCTTGCAACTTTTCTGCAGCCAGGTCAAATAGGAATGATATCTCCTCCTGAGAGCGGTTGAAGTTCTCAACACTGAAGGCGAACACTGAGAGTTCTTCAACTCCAAGGTCGTAACACCAACGGAGAGTCTGTGGTCAGATGATGAATACGCACAAAAGGAGGGGGGAAACAAACCTCTGACAGTTTAGAAAAACCCTCCGTATGTCCAGACGAGCACTGCATGTTTCTGCTGGTCGCAAAACGTCTGTTGCCATCCATAATAATGGCTACGTGCTTGGGAATAGGACCAAATTTGATAAGATACATGCAGAGTTTCTGGAGGATGTCATACCGATATTCTGGGAGTCCCCAGAGCATTAGGATGCTGAAGTGCAAGGATGTAGATGTTCGGTAGGCGGAATTCCTCGGTAAACTAACAACAACTCAAACAGTAAAAGTGACAATGATATAATAACAACGAAATTAAAATGATGTAGCCTTGCGAGTGGTTTGCATTCTGGATAGCCGCGACGGATGGGCTTTTGTGACTTGAAGTTAGGTTTGGAGCACAGACAGCCTACGGGCCCAAAATAAGTAAAATCAGACCGGACGGCACCGACCCACGCTCGTCATCAACCATGTCAGTGATAAAGCCAGATTTCGAAAGCATTCGAAGCGATACCCGAAACGTCATGGAATTCTGCGGGAGTTCACAGACGTCGCAACGGAAGGGTTGAATGCTATCAGCTGTCGAGTAGGATAACACAACAGCTCCTGATGAAAAGGGGTTTGTCACCCAAGTTCTGTCGTAGAACTATCAACTGACCCCGGATATGCCCGAGCTACCCAAATGGGTCCTAACCCTCTGGTTTTGGCTGAGCTACCTGACAGAAACGTGCTGACGGGACCCAGCAGCTACGCAATTAGTAACAACCCTGACTACTGTGCATGCTCAGCAGTGGTGAAAACTTTGAATGACAGCAGCGCGAATGGGAGAAAATAGCGCGCGAGACGAGCTAAAATTTTCAAAAAAAGTCTATAATTGGCCACCGACAGAAACGTGCTGACGGGACCCAGCAGCTACGCAATTAGTAACAACCCTGACTACTGTGCATGCTCAGCAGTGGTGAAAACTTTGAATGACAGCAGCGCGAATGGGAGAAAATAGCGCGCGAGACGAGCTAAAATTTTCAAAAAAAGTCTATACATTGGCCACCGTCTGATTTCGTTTACGAAGTACGCTGTTCAATCTGACCCGCCATCGTTGCCGGAGTACAACAGCCTGTGGCAAAATTTAAGGATATCGGTCTACTGACCCCTAAGCTGAAGGATTTCTTCAGTAATCCAACGTGATGCTCACGGTTGAACTGCTTTCCAACGTCAACAAAGAGCGCAGAGCTCGTTGGTTTTAGACCACACTTGGTGTGCTGTTTCTAGAGCTGGGATGCACGGGCCACCTGAAGTGAAGCCACGTGTGCCTCGTGTGTCCACCGGTGTTTGATACCCAAACCTCGCGAAGGGTATGCACCAGTGTAACAAAGGTGCTCTGTTATTTTTCCATGCCCGTCTCGAAATAATGAGTTGTCAGCCTTGTAGCACCTTCCAGTTGAAACCTGTCCCAGTAAAAAGGGTACGGCGAGGCAACCGATCGCATGGCATACGGAGCACATGGCCGAACCAATGGTGCAGCTGAACCAACCTTTTTTCTTTGGTTTTGTTGGTGAAACCAACTCATCACACTTCAGCGTTGCTAATTTTAATGTTCCTAAGGCACAAGAGCAATACTTCGAAGTCAGATGGTCAAAGGCGAGCAATCTCATTTTCATCGTACAGCAGCTCAGAGCCATAGAGTTAAACTGGGTGCATAACCGCGTCATAGATCCTGCCTTTCACCGATAGGCTAACATCACATCGAACACAGAGGTGCCTACGTTGAGAAAAACAGAAAGGGTTTTAGCATTTACTACGTTGGCAATGCTGACGTCCAACGCGATGCAACTATCCAGTTAAGTATATCCACCGCTATCTTTGGCGGGTCTGATACTACGAGCAGCAATCGTGGTCCACTCGCCTAATCCTGTAATAGCACTTTGCACTTTAAAGGAATGAAGCCCATGTCAAAACGCATGGCAACGGCACTCAGATTGCTTAGTGCATTTTGTATATGAAAGGAATATAAACTAAGTAGCTCAGTATCATTTGCACACCTAAGCTGTCAGTCTTCCCCGGGAAGAAGCTCCGCAACACAGAGAAGAGACATGACAAGTTCCTTCGATAATTAATTCGTTTACGAATTTACAGAAAGGACGAAAAGGGGCAGTCCTGATGGATACCAAATTTAGTGAAGAATTCAGGAGAACACTGTATGAATTTTCACGCTCTCGGGGGCACTGGAGTATAAGAATTGGAGTAATGTGATGAAAGTGTTCGGCATATATTTGAAGAAGAGACATCGCAAAACAGCGATCTAGAGTCGTACGCCACTTTCAGGATTATGAAGACAACAACTGTTAGTCATTTGAACGTGTGGTGGTATTCAAAATGTTGTCCTAAGGTAGATATATGGCCAATAAATCCATTACGCGGACCGAACCCAGCTTGATATTTACGACTTCCACTCAAGAGTGTCAGCCAGCTTGAGTAAGAGTGATACCAGTGGCCAACTTACAAGCGATGATGACTAAATTAAAGCCCACATATTTCTCAAATTCAGACCAAACATCTGAATACGGAAGCGACATCAGATACGTCACTCTTCTGTTGTGAGATCCAACTTGAACCGGGAGGCACCTAGTTAAATGCTCGATTGAGTGTTTTGACCGGCGAACCAGCATCCATTTCGCTGACAAGTTTGTTTGTTGAAAGTTTACAAGGCAGCTACTACTTCTTTGAGGACAGGATCTTGCAGGCAGTAGACATCATTCTCTTGGTCACAGGGAGACGAGCTGCAATACAAACATGAAGCAGGACATGATCCGACTCCGTATACGCACTCCAATAAGGAGGCAGTTTTGAATATAAGATCGCCATCCATGGCTAGTGTGTTGTGATGGTGTTGGGGCGAGATGGCCCGTGGTTAGAGCGCAAATTTACTGACCGCAAGGTCCGTGATTCGAACTCGGCCTCTGCCTCTCGACTCTCTTGTCTAGGCTTGGGGAACCTTGCAGTATCCCATCCCTCATGCAACCTTTGGGTGGCATGGCAGTTAGGCACCGAAAGGGTGCTACAGCTGGACGGTTATGGTTAGTTGCTGTGTGGTCAATCTGAGTACCATTTATTTACGGTTTGAATAATACCAGGGAACTTAAGGTGGCTCAGAGTTGGAAACGGCTCAGTGGGTAGAGAGCGAATTTACTGACCGGAAGGTCCGTGGTTCGAACCCAACTTCCATCCCGACTGCTCCTGTCTGGGCTTGGGTAACCTGGCGGGACTTCGGCTTCGTGCCTCCTGCGGGTGGCACGACAGCTAGGCACCGGGTGTTACAGTTGAACGATTATTAGTATTACAATACCAGGTAACGCAATACGGACGTTTGTAGAAAAGATAAGGCATATGAGTAGTCTGTGGTCTTTTCGAAGCTCCGCACCGCGTCTAATTGACGGTGAAGTTTATTACGGAACTTGTGGAACTGCTTTGCAGTGTTCGTTTACAATTGCGTGATAGTCAATGAATATCCATGAAAGTTAAAGAAGACGAATGACAATGTTCCGCTTTTAAAAACTATGTGCATATGAGATACTTACTTTCCTGTCCAATAGTTTGTAACCGCTTAGTTGGTGTTTGCTCATCATCGTCATCAAAGACGGCAACACCAGTTTTGACACTGATGCTTGATTGTCGTATGGTGTTTGCTAATAAACGACTTAGTGGCGAAAGGCTTTCTTACTTACATTTGGCGCCGTGACCAGGATACGGATGTAGATCACGTGGCCACAACCCCTTGAGGATAGGCATGGAGGGTTTCGATAATGTAACGGAGGTGGCTGGACTGGATACCGACTGCGGTAAGTTGGCGGCACTGAAGATCCTCCCCAGAGGCCGGGCGAAGGTAGCCCTGGATGCAGCCAGAAGGGGTCCTAGGAAGATGAACTGGGCCACCGCGAAATAAGCTCTTGCAGCAAAGCCCGACAAACCGGCCTCTCGCCAGGAGCCTATGAGGTAGTGCCTATCAAGAAGATACTGGACCTTACAGTGGTGTAGCGGCTTGTGTAAGCTATACTGAGGGGTGTCCGCACGACACTCACGGTGTTTCATACCAGGTTGGCCAATAGGTAGAGGTCTGAAGAAGACAAACTCCTGGCCCTCCGGGTTGGGGGTTGGGACATTTGTAGCGACGTGTTCCTTAAAAACGGTAATATACTTGCATTTCCAGCCCAACACCGCTGCCTTGCGGTTAGGCTTTTGAGCCAAAGGCTTTGGTTGAGGACCCTAATCCATCTCACATCGGCCGTCGCGTGGTGGCATCAGCCGGGTCACCTTACTTGCTGCATGCACCAAGGCGGGTAAGCGAATACACGCTAATGCTTACACTTCCCCTCTTACACTTTCACGTTTTCTGTCTTTCACCCTCATCCCCCCAAATTCGAATAATTTCTCCGTATGTCCCAGCTCTAGCACTGACCGTTTTGCTCGCCCTGAATCTACGTCTACTTAGCCACCTTTAATGTTCGCACACTGACGCAAGCAGATTAACAGATGGCTCTTGGTCGTACGCTGGATTACCTCTGCATTGATGTATGTCGTCTGTTAGAAACGAGGACACAGGACGCAAGCACTGTGATCGAACTAACTGCCCCGTCGCTCTCTTCCAGGTTCCGGCTGCGCACCTCTGGTGATGCAGAGGCCGCTATGGATATGATGGGGTGGATATTGTATTGAGCGAACGAGCGGAAGCGTCTGTTTGATTGGATATCCGTTGATAGTCGCCTCCGTATGGTTCATTTAGCAACATATGTGGAAGAATATAGAGGAAATGAGGTCCATCGCATCTTGTTTATTGTGTCTGTTTATGCCCCAACGGATTGTAGCCCTGTGTAGTAACGGTATTCCTCAGCTTAGTTCTCGGTCTGAGCCTCCCAAGCTAGCGTCCACGTCAAAGCAACCAACAAAGGTACACAAGGAATACTTACGCCCAAAACGAAGTCAAAAACAGTTGTACAGCGCATCATACATATACTGTAAGCGGCGACAACTCTCCGGAAATTCTGACGCCCTCTGGATGCGCTATTGGCAACCGGCATTCGGTCAAAACTGGGCCATCATTGGCCATTGGGAACAGACTTTCGACTAATCAGATCTCGGTTTGATGCCGGACCGGCAATTGTCCCGATTTTTTTTAGCAATCTTGCGTGGGATAGGCTTCTCGGCCGTAGCAGCAC